CACTAGAGGCTGAAACTGCTATGTTTACAGCAGAAAGGATTAACACTAGATGGACCAGGCACCCAGACCACTTCATTAAGCTGAAGTGGTCTGTGTGCCTATAGTGGTCCTTTAAAGGTGTAAATTTACAAAAACAATTTAAAAATCCAACAGAAAAACAAAAGGGACAACACAGTCCTGAGCGCACAGCCCAGATTTCACTATCACACAGAATTGGACGACAACTGGCACCATCTTTTGAATATTACAGATTGCCTGATACTCTTTCCTGCTACAGTTAAAAGAGAAAGTTGTTATAATTTCGGCTTTATCCAATAACTGCTCTGATCAACACAATATAATTCCAGCCTCCTGCATATGACTTGGGTGAGATCCATCCGTTTTTTCAATATATTGGCTTTTTTTTCTATTTTGAGAGACTGTTATATCTATTTTGTATTTATTTTTATTTTTTTCCTTTTTTCCCCATTTTTTTAAAATAGTTTTTCAGTCTAACTTTTTGCTCACTTTTTCTCAAATAGCTGGAATACTATATACCATTTTGTCTGACCAGACTGCCAAACATTAACCATCCTTATCATTTGAGCGGAGTCCAGCGATCATACAGCACATCTATACTTGGTGGGTCTACCGGACTGATTTTGTATCAATTAGATCATTGTAGATATGTATATAGGAGATGTGTACAATAGATGCATTTTGTACAGTATATCAAATACACATTTCTTTATTTGGTTCTTGCACCATTCTGCATAGCTATTAATTCTTTTAATTTGGCTTTGGTGCTTACTTACTGTTTTTCTAAAAAATAAACACAATAATACATTTTGTAAATTTCAGAATATAAATAATCTTGATCTTTATTAGACACAATTATTGTGTCCGAGTGCGATATTAATACTTATTTAATTGTATATCTTATTTGAGGTCTATTTGGAAGTAACCTCTAAAACCTGCACCATCCTGTAGAGCGTGCCAACACAATTGAGTAGATCAAACAATTATATAGTTATATTATTTCATTAATACAAATACTGGTGAGGTGCTGCCCCTATGGACAAGTCTCCACTGATAGTGCGGTTAGTAGCATGTCTGATTCAACACCAAGGAGAGCGATGTTCTCAGCCTTTTCATGCTGCAATAACTTGTACTGCCACTGCCACTGCCACTGGCCCAGCATCTCCTTCTACCACAGCTAGTTCAAGCATTACAGCTTCTGTGTTTGATGGTGCTTGGAGCAAGGGATCCGTGAAACCAGTGTTGCCGTTGACTAGGTTACCACCTATTTCTTGTAGCCCCCCAGAACTAACTAAGGGAGAGCTCAGCAGATACTGTGGTGCCATCCAAGACAATCATTACTGAAGAGGTAGAGCAGAATACTCAAATAGTGTTCCCAATGTCTGGTCTTGGGGGTGGGGTAGTGATGGTTTGGAATCTTGTGACAATGATATCACTGACAATGATATCACCACAATTCCAGACATTTATGTATGTCCCAGAGGGAAACTGACACACAGATACAGATGAGGAGAGTTGTTGCAGATTAGATTTTCACCAGATATCAGATTTATGATCTTGTAGGACTGCATTAAAGATCAATCAAATTGACAAATATTCAAATGTTCAAAGGTTGTTATTCTTGGTTAAGTAGTTGGTACCTGAAGAAAAGCGTTGTGTTGAACAGAATTCAATATGTCTTGATTAATTCTTCATATGAGCATGATGGTACTACAGCTTTTCTTAAAGGGACACCATAGTCACCAGAACAACTACAGCTTATTGAATTTGTTCTGGTGAGTAGAATCATTACCTTCAGGCTTTTTGCTGTAAACACTGTCTTTTCAGAGAAAATGCAGTGTTTACATTACAGCCTAGTGATAACTTCACTGGCCACTCCCCAGATGGCTGTTAGAGATCCTTCCTGGGTCATGGCTGCCTAAAATGCATCCAAACATTCTGTATCTCCTCCCTCTGCATGCAGACACTGAACTTTCCTCATAGAGATTCATTGATTCAATTAATCTCTATGAGGAGATGCTGATTGGCCAGGGCTGTGTTTAAATCATGCTGGCTCTGGGGCAGAGCCTCTTTGCCTCTTTGTCAGTCTCAGCCAATCCTATGGGGAAGCATTATGATTGGATCAGGCTACCACTTCTGCTGATGTTAGCAGACAGCTTGTTTTTCTGAGTCTAACAGCATGCAGAGTTACAGCTTCAGGCTTGAATACAGTAAGATTCTGCTATATTTATGGAGGCATGGGGGACCCAGGAGGGCTAGATGGTGGTTTTAACACTATAGGGTCAGGAATACATGTTTGTATTCCTGACCCTATAGTGATCCTTTAAAGTAAGCTAATACTGTGTCATTTTACATCTATCATAAAAAAGGATGTTACTTATCATTAAATTATCAGAAACTTAGTTTTGTTTACACAAAAATGAAACTGCGTCTTTGAAGACGAAAGACATAGGATGAATAAAAGACAGTTTTGTTGTTAATTTTGCAGCTGTTATGTTACTCATATGTTACTACTTAATACATAAAGATGTATTGAGTGGTAAATTCTGTTTTTCTCTTGAACATCTTAACCCTTTATTTATAATATTGCAAATACATATTAACTCTTCTATTAACCCTTTATCACTTCCTTCTTTGACATCGAATAATGTGGCGTAAGTATAAATCTCAGTACCCGGGTGCAAGAATCTGTGAAGCCCCTCACATGCAATATATGTGACCGTAGGCATATTTTTGTATGTAGTATATTTGTGTGAATGTTTGTGTATAATGCTGATATTTTAATGCAGAAAGACTGTTTGTGTGTAGTGTTGTCATTTAAATGCTGAGGTGTATAATATTGGTGTTTGAATGCATGTTTTTTTATCTGGTGTAAATATATGAATGCAGCACTGTGTTTGTGTGTAATGTTGACATGTGAATGCAAGGTAATATTTGTGTGAAGTGTTGGCATTTAAACGCAGGACTGTTTGTGTGTACATTATTGTCTTGTGAATGCTAGGGTTTGTTTATGTGTAATATTGATGATTGCATGCAATTGTATATTCACAAATACATATGCACTCCCACACACACATACAGGGGCACATACACAGAAACACACATATACTGCCACACAGTTGCCCTCAGACACATATACACACAGATACACTATGAGCGATATATACACAGATTGACACACTTACACAGTTACATTAACACATACTGACATGTATGCACAGATCCACACACACAAATCCATGAACACTGATGTACATATACATACACTGGCATCAACAAATACTGACACACATGCATAGATGCATATACTGACACAAATACATTACAAAGCCATAAAGTAAAATGTATTTAGGGAATTTAAAACTTTACAAATAATTGTACACTTTAGCTACTGTTATCCTTAAAAGGTGGACACAACGACTTCAGGGCTGTAATAGGTTAAAACGTTTTATTGATCAGGGTCAACCATGGGATTTATTGCACCAAGACATCTCACCATTGAAAGATTATTTACTCTGTCTACAATTCCTGTCTAATCCAGACACATATCACAGCACCTAACTGAATCTGTGAGAATACCAGACTACTCTTCCAAACATCTTGTCCCTCAATGTTTCTTAGAAATCATAAAGAATTTATATTAGGACTATACCATATTATTTACCAACCAATCGTAAATATATACCAACTATTAAGTATCTGTATATATAGTAGATATTATTATTTACTTGTTTCCATACTAGTATTTGGTGCAACCTGTTTTCTTTTTGTTTTAATGTTACTGGCTGTTACCTAGTCATATTCACCGACCACACGCTGCCACCTCTCCCCATGGAGTCACATAGAGCCAATCCCCCACATAGTCTGATTGACCCTGCCTGCTGAATTACATATATTTAACAACCACAAGACTGAAGTGGAGAAAGCCATTTTCCACACTATGACAGGTATCGTATAGCATGGGAAAATATCACACACTTTGCAATGTGACCAAGTGCGCTCTGATTGGTTAGCTAGTAACCCAACTCTGACAGCAGAGTCTCGAGACAGGTAAAGGCATATGGATCTACATTACCTCCATTAAAACAAAACTGGGATCTTTCCGACTCTCTTAGGAGTTTTATTTATTTTTCCTTTTTTTACATTTATACTATATCAATTATATAGTCAATTGTTTGACTAGTCCCTAACATTCCAATGTCTTTATGCAGTAAGTCTAGCCATGGTTTCCATATCTCTAAGAATTTGATTTGACTTCTCACAGATGTTGCAGCTGCATATTCATATAAATAATATTGTCTTATCTTAACAATCAATTGATTACATGTTGGACAGGTGGCTTGTTTTCAGCTTCCTGTTATAAGGTTTCTGGCTGCTAAATTAACTATAACTGTCATCTGCTTTGAAGGCTGCATCTGTCCAGTTGGAAAAAAAATTCGTATTATCCCTATGGTTTTCCAGATTTTATCCCAGATAGGGAATGTCAGTTCCATCGTTGGTAATGATAAATATAATTTATTTCTAAAGGATTTAGGTGTCCAAAGAGCATCTACCAATAAGCTCCATGGGGCTTCCCCCTTTCCATATCCACCCACTGTAATGTTTTGTTAAAACGTGCATCTTTACTGCTGATTCAAAAATACAGGGAGTGCAGAATTATTAGGCAAATGAGTATTTTGACCACATCATCCTCTTTATGCATGTTGTCTTACTCCAAGCTGTATAGGCTCGACTACTACCAATTAAGCATATTAGGTGATGTGCATCTCTGTAATGAGAAGGGGTGTGGTCTAATGACATCAACACCCTATATCAGGTGTGCATAATTATTAGGCAACTTCCTTTCCTTTGGCAAAATAGGTCAAAAGAAGGACTTGACAGGCTCAGAAAAGTCAAAAATAGTGAGATATCTTGCAGAGGGATGCAGCACTCTTAAAATTGCAAAGCTTCTGAAGCGTGATCATCGAACAATCATGCGTTTCATTCAAAATAGTCAACAGGGTCGCAAGAAACGTGTGGAAAAACCAAGGCGCAAAATAACTGCCCATGAACTGAGAAAAGTCAAGCGTGCAGCTGCCACGATGCCACTTGCCACCAGTTTGGCCATATTTCAGAGCTGCAACATCACTGGAGTGCCCAAAAGCACAAGGTGTGCAATACTCAGAGACATGGCCAAGGTAAGAAAGGCTGAAAGACGACCACCACTGAACAAGACACACAAGCTGAAACGTCAAGACTGGGCCAAGAAATATCTCAAGACTGATTTTTCTAAGGTTTTATGGACTGATGAAATGAGAGTGAGTCTTGATGGGCCAGATGGATGGGCCCGTGGCTGGATTGGTAAAGGGCAGAGAGCTCCAGTCCGACTCAGACGCCAGCAAGGTGGAGGTGGAGTACTGGTTTGGGCTGGTATCATCAAAGATGAGCTTGTGGGGCCTTTTCGGGTTGAGGATGGAGTCAAGCTCAACTCCCAGTCCTACTGCCAGTTCCTGGAAGACACCTTCTTCAAGCAGTGGTACAGGAAGAAGTCTGCATCCTTCAAGAAAAACATGATTTTCATGCAGGACAATGCTCCATCACACGCGTCCAAGTACTCCACAGCATGGCTGGCAAGAAAGGGTATAAAAGAAGAAAATCTAATGACATGGCCTCCTTGTTCACCTGATCTGAACCCCATTGAGAACCTGTGGTCCATCATCAAATGTGAGATTTACAAGGAGGGAAAACAGTACACCTCTCTGAACAGTGTCTGGGAGGCTGTGGTTGCTGCTGCACGCAATGTTGATGTGAACAGATCAAAACACTGACAGAATCCATGGATGGCAGGCTTTTGAGTGTCCTTGCAAAGAAAGGTGGCTATATTGGTCACTGATTTGTTTTTGTTTTGTTTTTTGAATGTCAGAAATGTATATTTGTGAATGTTGAGATGTTATATTGGTTTCACTGGTAATAATAAATAATTGAAATGGGTATATATTTGTTTTTTGTTAAGTTGCCTAATAATTATGCACAGTAATAGTCACCTGCACACACAGATATCCCCCTAACATAGCTATAACTAAAAACAAACTAAAAACTACTTCCAAAAATATTCAGCTTTGATATTAATGAGTTTTTTGGGTTCATTGAGAACATGGTTGTTGTTCAATAATAAAATTAATCCTCAAAAATACAACTTGCCTAATAATTCTGCACTCCCTGTAGAAGCATGATAGTAGGCCGAAAAATGTGGCATGCCCAGTCCTCCTCCCTTTGCCGATCTTTGTAATAGGGCCAAGGTAACTTTTGGTTTTCAAATTTGCAGAAATACAGACTTATAAATCATTTGCCCTTCATCATGAATAATTTTCAGCAAATCTGCAATATTGATTTCATGTAACTTCCAGTCACTTAGCTCTAGCTGAAGCTTTGGCCACTTTGCGCCATTCGCCATCGTCATCTGAGGTCTCCGATTAGATTTCTTTTGTTGTTCTGGTTTTGGGAAGGTAACTGGAATTTGCCACTCATGAAGAAGGTGACTGACATCTTCAGGGTTAAGGACTTGCCGCTCCATGCCATTACGCTTCACTAAAAGACGTGTCGGATAGACCCATTTATACACCACTCCTGCCTCTCGTAGTGCTTTTGTAATAGGTGCAAACCGTTACCCCTTTCAATGTTGCTGCAAATACCCACAAATTTTTTTTAGTCCTGCAAATTTTCCTGGTAGGTTTTCCATTTTCCTTGAAGCTTGCATTATCTGCTCTTTCGCTATATATAAATGTCATTTTATGATATCTCTTGAAACTGAGACAAGTAGATTTTTGGACTTCCGTAAACGATGTGCCTTCTCTATTAATAGATCAAGTTCTGTTCGCTCAGGAACAAGGTTTGGAATAATGCCAAAATATAGGCTTGCAATTCTTGTGGTTTAATTTCTTCTGTAAGTCTGGTAGGCACATATTATGGTAACGGTCCTGAACTTTATGATCTGCTAGTGAGCATCCTACCCTGCCCCTATTTTTACTTTTTTATTGTGGCAGCCACTTCACAATTAACCCTGGCAGCTCCGATGGTTTTTAGCTATTTTGCCCACTGGCTGCTATTGCAAATAGCAAGTGAATGATAATTTGCAATCATTCATCTTGCTAAATGAATTCAGCTTACCATTGGCCTCCATGCGGTTGTTAATACACCTCTGATTCTGATGCTGTAGATCAACCGATTTTCTGAACTGATCTGAACCAGTGTTACTTAATTGGTTGGACTGACCAAACTCTGACCACATTCGCCTTCAGTGAATCTGGAAATTGCCAACGTGGTCAGAATTTGGTTGTTATCACCAATGTTGTCCATTCTGACAGAATCCGGTGTTTAGTAAATAACCCTGTAAGAGACTGAGGGCCTCCCATTTCTATGTGTTGATTTAATAATTTAATGATAAATGGATACAGGCATTTCTCACTTTATGAACTCTCGCTTTATGAACTCCCGACTTTATGAACTTTTTTCTGGATGTGCTGCCATTTTGTTTCACCTCCATTTTGTGTCAGTGGTCCACGGATCAGGACCGAGAAGAGTGCTTTGGAGCACAAACAAGAAGAGAAGAAAAATAATTTGTGGTCAGGAGTAGACAAGAAGAGAGTTGAGGATCAGGAACACAGTTCCTGAAGATAAAGGGAAGTCTAAAAACAGGTTTAGATTGCACTGTATTCTTTTTGTGCTTTCATGGGCATAAATTACAGATCCTGTAATATTATTGCACTGTATGCTATGGAGTATAGATTTGACTTGATTTGTCTGTGTGTGTTTGACATAGCTGTCTGTGTGTATGTGTGTCTGACATAGCTGTCTGTGTGTATGTGTGTTTGCCATTGTGCCATGTTTTGGCAGGCAGCAATAGTAAAGAGCAGGAGGAGGGCTGAAAAACCTGAAAAGGGGAGAAGGAAGAAAGTTTGAGAGCTGTAAAAATCAAACGTGTAACAGAAAAGTAATAAAGGAGAGGGGGAAGCTGATAATGAAGAAAATGAATAAGTATGAGGGTTTAAGAGGGGTTCCCCATTCAACAAGTGCAGCATGTCTCTTCATTGAATAGCATTAGGATTGATGATAATTTAAAGAAGATTTCAATATGTATGTTTGCCTTTAAAAGTCCTACAACATACATGTATTTGCAATGCTTTCATGTTGTATTTGTACTTAATAATTTAGGTTTTCAATGGTAAAATTTGTTGGTTAGGAACGGAACCCGTGTTTATCACATTGTGTCTATGGGAAATTAGTTCTCACTTTATGAACTAGGCTTCGGAACCAATTAGTTCGTAAAGTCGGGAACTACCTGTATATGGTACTTGTTAATTTGTACAGGTTGTAGGGAAAACTGATTTGACTAAAATAAAAATGTGCATAAAAGATTTTCATAAATATATAATATAAAATATTTTTATAATAAATAGATGATAAAATAGTGATGATGATGATTGGCTATGAAAGCCAATCATCATCATCATCATCACATCTATATTCTATAACAGTGTATGTTAATATAAGAATGCATAGTTTGGATAATGACAATCATTTTCCTAACAGTTTAGAGAAACAGGAGCGGAACAATTATATTTTTATTATCTTTTGAATGGTCACGCATAATGAGAAATTTTACAGACAAGCAAATTTCACTCGCTATTCAAACCTGACGCATCGCTCCACTCAAGTCACCATTTTCAAGGCATTTTTCATATTATTACTTTTACTTTAATAATCATTACTTTTCGGCTTTCTAGCACCTATTGTTTGCACTGAAACATTTAAAGAGGCGCACTGCTGGGATGAATGTTCGTTTTAAACAATGACATATATAGCCGATTCCCCAAAGTGTTAAGTGAACATTGGAACTATTTTTTCCTTTCTTTTGTTACAGCATCATATTTTGGCTTTATATAGTTATCTAAGGAAAAAAATAAAAAAATAAATATATATATATATATATATATATATATATACCATACATAGCAGCTTAGCACTCTCCTTCCAAAATCAAAAAATGCTACCCGCATTCAAAATATTGATAAATAAAGTAAGGGGTGCACTCACAGGTCTTATATTAAGTAGTATGTGGTTTAATAGTATGAAAAAATTTCTAGTACATCTGTGCAAAAAATCGACATTTCGACCCCTCTTTTTCAAGATCACAGTACATAAAGCAAAGTGGCAATAAATAAATATAACAATCAAAAACGTACCAATAATGTGAGAGGAGATTGTGTAAACCCATCACCTGCAAACTGCTACCGACCAGGAAGTGCAAGAAGCCGCAGTGACGTCCTAACGTCTGACGTGCTGTGGGAAACAATCGTGGTTGCTAGGATACCAAAAATCACCGTGAGGATCGTAAATGTAAATAAAGTCCCGAACCCTGAGTACAGAAAACTGACACATAAGTGTCTAGACAGAGGAAAGGACTGATGTATGGCAAGCTATAGACTGAACTTCTAATAAAAATGAACTAGTACTAAACAGATCAAGTGGGCAAAATATGCGAGTGATAGTCAACAAACAGTGTGAAAAAAGGTGTGCTAGCAAAGTGTACAACAGTGTATGAAAACAGTGAATAAGTGATATATAATGTGAACAGGTGTCCCCCCCCCCCACATAAATATATCCCACAGGAACAATATCATGATTATACATATATCTAAACAATTAAAGCATCCATACGGTGTCCTTATGATACAGAAGTCTGCTGAAACTAAACCTAGAACAGCTAAATATTCCCAGGGAACTGTTATATATTGATATAAGACAATGTCCATGAGGAAACATATTGATAATAATAATCATGATAAATCACTAAGACAAAAGTACAGGTCATACGAGGAATCAGCAGGCTTATCTGATAAATTCCTAATATTTCACAATGGACTTTGGAATGGAATCTTCAGGCAAATATTTTGAACCCTCTTTGAATATAGGAGCCACATCTGCCTTCCTCCAATCCACCAGTACAATTCCTGAAAGAAAAGCTTGAAAGAATAAATACAGAGGTTCACTTATTTCCATACTTGGCTACTTAAGTACTCATGGGTAAATACCCACACTTCACTTTAACTTTCTTTAGTTGCTGCAGCACCTAGTCTTGAGCCATTCAATCACAATTTTTCTGCAAGTTTTTTTGCAGCAGTCATTTGCATATCTCTTGCCTTAGAATTC